CATCCAGTGTGTCTGAGCTCACCCTGGAGTTTATCTCTGCAGCCCAGTGACCCTTCAGGCTGAGTTTGCTGACAGGATTTGCAGGCTCTAAACCATGTCTGGAACAATCCACTTGCTGCTTGTAGCTGATCTGGCACAGTTGTTTTTTGTTTTAGGAAGTTTCTTTTTAATCCATGACTATGGGATTAGGATAAAAAGGGAAATTGGTACATTCAACTGCACCTTAAAAGGGAAAGACATAATCAAATAGCTAGTAAAAAAAAATAAAATCCTGCAGTTTCCAAGGGAAATGGAGAGTCTTTTCATTTAGCTTGGAAAAGCAGCTTCATCTGCCATCAGCACCAACACTGCTGTGCCCTGTGACTCCCTGCTCACACCAAGAAACCTTTGGGAAGGGTTTTTTGAGCTTTATTTCCCCGTGGGAGAGGAGGAGCCTCCCAGCATAGAATGGAGATAAAAAATCCTCCCAACAGGAGACACCACTTGGCTCTCTCCAACCACCTCCTTTAGCCACACTTGGCTTCACCTGCCCCATGGATAAGGATTGAATTCCCTGGTGTGAGGAACTGAATTCGCTAAAACACCTGGGATAAACAAAGCAATTAGCACCGTGCTAAGAGTAGAAACGCTGTTAATCACCCCCTTTATGGCATCTTCATCCTCTCTTACAGTGCCACAAACATGGAAAACAAGGATAACGCAGCATCATCATCCCGAGCCTTTGAGAGGTGGTGGCAGCAGGAAAAGCCTTCCCTCCTCTCCTATCTGAAGGTTTTATTTGTTCATCGCCTTTTGCTATTTGCATTCACAGAGGCTTAATGAGACGTCCCGGGTTAAACAAACCTCCCTGGGGAAGAGCCCATTAGTGCCTGTAAAGCACCACGGAACTGTCTCCCATGAAAAGCTGCTCCTTCCCGGCTCCCACTGCCTTTGAAAAGGGAAAGCTGCACATTCCTCAGCAGTTCAGAGCCGCTAATTAGTCTTTGCCTTTTAAAATGAGGTCGGTGGCTGCTCTGATGCTACAAACACAGCTCTTTCAGCTGATCTGGTGTGGAGCATCCCATGGCCATGGGCAGGTGCCTGGGGTGAAACTATAGGGGCAAAGGAGAGGGAAAAAGCTCCCCCAGAGATTTTGGGGAGGTTTCCACCAGCTGTGGCATTGCCAGTCACACAGACACCAAGTTGGGCATCCCATTTTGTCCTGCTGTCCCCCAAAAACAGCCAGCACAGGTCTCCCCACACCTCCCTGCTCCAAAACCGCCAGCCCCTCGCCCACAAAGGCAAACTTGACCCCGGAGCACCTTTCTCTGCCTCACCTGGGATGTGGGCAGTGATTCATTGCTGCTGCCTGAGCCCAGTGTTGACTCTGCCAGGGGCGTTATCGCCGCGCCGGGCACCTCTTGGTATAGGAACAACCCCAACGGCGCTGGCAGAGCCCAGCGAGGCTACCAAGAGACCAACATGAAACACCTCCTGCTCCTCCTCGTGCTCTGCCTCTCCCTGGCCAGTGGCTTGAAAAGGTAAGGGGGTCTCCAGAGCTCTTGGAGGGGTTTGCTCTTTGGGTGCTGCCCGTGCTGCGGTGGATGGGCAGAGCTGAGCTGATGATGGAGGAATCATTCCATGGTTCCTGGTTTGTTCCAGCAGTCTGTGGGCTCCATCCCTCTGGGCAGACCCTGTCAGCAGCACTGGGCTGCAGGAGGGTCTGCAAATGGGATCTGTGCAAGCAAACAGGGAACAAAATGCTGCCATGAATTCACCTTGGGTCTGGTCACCTCTCCCAGCCTGAAGGTGCTTTCCGTTGAGCTCCTGTCTGTCCTGTCACTGCTGGAATGCTCATCCTCTCCTGCCAGCTTTGCCCTTGGTTTGCTGCCTCCTAAAACAGATCAAGTTCCAGTGTTATGCTGTGCCTTGGCTGGAAAGCATTGTGGTGGGGGAATCATAGAATCCCAGAATTTTAGGGGTTGGAATGGCCCATATAGGGTCCTCTAGTCCCAACCCTCTTCCCTGGGCAGGGACATCTCCCCACTAGACCTTGTCTGGCCCTGCATCCTGGTGGTGCTGAGCCCCCAGGGTGGGCACAGGGACTGCAGGAGTGCAGCAGCCCTGGGAGGGTGACCAGGACCTCTGTGCCCAGGGTGCCCCTGACCAGGCATCGCTCCCTGCGGAAGCTGCTGCGGGACCGTGGGCAACTCTCCCACTTCTGGAAAGCTCATGGGCTGGACACTGAGGACTGCTCTGCCTTCCTGGAGACCAGTGAGCCCCTCATCAACTACCTGGATGTAAGCAGGGTGGCACGGAGGGCTGGGGGTACAGAGTCCCACCAGACACCCCAAAACGCATCGGTTTCCCTGAGCAGTCCCAAACCCCACGCCTACAGTGCCAGGGCTCACTGCCTGCTTGGGCCTGCCTGGCCCTTTGTTCCCAGGAATGTGGTGATGAGAAGGGACAAGGGAGCACATTCAGGGCAGGCACTGCCAGCTCTGTCCCTGCCTGCTGTGCTCCCCCACCCCAGGGGACAGATTTCCTTCAAGACTTACATGTACCACACACATCAGAGACCACACCACGAAGGACACAGAGATGGAAGGTGTTCCCCAGGCTCATCCCATTCCCCACCAGTGTGAAAATCCTGTCCCCAAGCCCCTGATGCTGTCTGCATCCCTGCAGGGTCCAGCATTCCCAGGAAAAGGATGGTGCCTGTATCCATGGTCCTTTGGCTCTCAGCTTGCCTCATCATTCCTTTATCATTCCTTCTCCATCCATGCCCTGTGGTCACCCTGGCACAGCCTGCCCTTTGCCAGGGTTTTCTGACATGCTGATGGCTCATGCTGGTCTCTGCCCCACTCTTTGCCAGATGGAGTATTTTGGGCAGATCTCCATTGGAACTCCACCCCAGAACTTCACTGTGGTGTTCGACACAGGCTCCTCCAACCTCTGGGTACCTTCTGTCTACTGTGTCAGCAAAGCCTGCGGTGAGTAGGACCTCCCTGACTGGACTGGAGTCACCCCAACGAGGCCATGGGTCATCAGCACACCCAGCCCTGAGCCCTTGGGGGACCTCCCCACCCAGCTGAGCCCTGCAAGGCACACACAGATATCACAAATCCAGGGGGGGAAGCAGGGGAGCCCCAGTGGGTGTGTTTGCCCAGGTGTGGATGGTGGTCACACCACCAGGACCTGGTGCCATCAGCCCATGGGTGATACTGGTGGTGTTCTTTAGGCCATTCTTGTGGGAGCCTTTCAGCAAAAATGATAGCACAGAGTGTGGCTTGTCAGCAAGGGGCAGGGGGGCAGAACAGGGGGCACAGAGTGTGGCACAGCTCTGGGCTGGTTGCATTTCCTCCTCAGAACCTGGGTGACTGTGATCAGAGTTTTGGTGGCACCAGTGCTGCTCCACTGGCCACGCTGGCAGCTCCTGGCAGCTGTGGCCACGCAGATAAACACCATTTGTGCTGACAGATCCTGTCTCCCTCCCCAGCTGGACATGCCAAGTTCCAGCCAGCACAGTCCAGCACCTACCAGCCCATTGGGACTCCCTTCTCCATCCAGTATGGCACTGGGAGCCTCACAGGAGTCATCGGATCCGACCAAGTAGTTGTGAGTCACCTTTGGGTTCTCCTGCTCTGGACAATGTGCCTGGGACCTCCCCATGGACTCAGCATCCCCATGGAACCCACTCCTCCCTGCAGATCGAGGGCATCACTGTGAGCAACCAGCAGTTTGCAGAGAGTGTCAGTGAGCCAGGAAAAGCCTTCGTGGACGCCGGGTTCGATGGGATCCTGGGCCTGGCTTACCCCTCGCTGGCTGTGGATGGAGTCACTCCTGTCTTTGACAACATGATGGCACAAAACCTGGTGGAGCTGCCTGTGTTCTCTGTCTACATGAGCACGTATGGACATGGTCTGAGATGCTGCTGAGAGTCAGGCCGTGCTTTAGGACATGAGGGACTGCTAAAACAAAGATATTTTATTGGGGTAGTAAAGGGGTTTTTGGTACCAGGCTGAGCATCACAGATCTTGGGGCTTCTGTGGGAAGCAAGTAGCTTTAAATACACCTGTTTGAAATGTGATGTGCAAAGTAAAAGGGAAGAAAATCCCTCATGTCTCCTCCTCCTCCTCCCTCCAGGAACCCTGAATCCTCCCTGGGAGGAGAGCTGCTCTTTGGGGGCTTTGACACCTCCCACTTCACAGGGACCCTGAACTGGGTACCAGTGACCCAGCAAGGCTACTGGCAGATCCAGGTGGACAAGTGAGTGGTGCTGGGCAGGGAGGGAAGGCTGGGCTGGGCTGGAAGAGCAGGACAAATCCTTCCTAGTGCTTCTCTCTGTCCTCCTCCTCCAGCATCCAGCTGGGTGGGACAGTGGCTTTCTGCACCAACGGCTGCCAGGCCATCGTGGACACTGGGACGTCGCTCATCACAGGTCCCACCAAGGACATCAAAAAACTGCAAAACTATATAGGTGCAGTGTCTGTGGATGGAGAGGTGAGAGCCAGGGTGGGGAGAGGTGGGACAAAGCCCTGGGATCCCCTCCCTGCTGGGAGGGACCTCCCTTGGGGCAGGTGCTGAGTCCTGGCTGTGTTGCAGGATGTCGTGGAGTGCAGCAACCTCAGTGAGATGCCTGACTTGACCTTCACCATCAACGGGCTGCCCTACACGCTCAACGCTCAGGCTTACACCCTCATGGTATGGCTCCATCCTCCCCAATTCCCAGTGGCTCCAGGGACAGAGGTGGCCCAGAGCCACCCCAGGAGCTAAGCTGTGTGTCCCAGAGGGTGACCAGCCCCACTGCTTCATGCTTCATCCCCACTCCTGGGTGCTTCCATGTGCACCAGGCTCTGGGATTCATTCCCAGCTTTCCACTTCTCCTTCCCCAGGAGTATGCTGATGGCATGGCCTTCTGCCTCAGTGGCTTCCAAGGGAATGACATCCCCCCTCCAACTGGACCCCTCTGGATTTTGGGAGACGTTTTTATCCGTCAGTTCTACTCTGTCTTTGACCGTGGGAACAACAGGGTGGGCTTGGCCCCTGCTGTTCCCTAGGGCTGTGGCATCCCATGGGGCAGGAGGGGAACAGAGCCACCAGGATGCTGTCCTGGGGCAGGGCAGGGGATGTCACTGCTGCATCAGTGTCCCCAAGGGGATGAAGACCCCCCAGGGATGAAGTCAAGGAGCCCAGCAGAAGCTCAGTCCACACCAGGATGCTGTTTCATAACAAATCCAAAACCATCTCGAGCAGCTCGGTGATCTGCCCTGCAGATTCTCTATTTTTTAAACATGAGCCAATAAAAGATTTAACAAACCAAAACCTGCCATGCTTCTGTCATCAGGAGCCCATTTCCACAGGAGCAGAAAGCAGAGGACTCTGCTCAGGTGGAGCAGAAAGTCCCTGGAGATGGCTGTGGGCAGTCCCAAGCATCCCATGGCTGTGTGCAGGGGCAGGGCAGGGGCTGGGGCAGCACTGGGAATACAGATCTCTTCAGCCAGCTGAGATGCTGCTGATAAACAAGAAGACAGGCAACAGGGAGACTGGAAAGACCCTGGGGCTCTTTCTATGCCAAGAAACTCCAAGAACCCAACGTTGGTGATTTCCAACGAATTTTGCTTTGATTCCCTTGGGGAACTTTTTACAAAGACAATGTGGTTGGTGAGGCCTCGAAGGAAGAAGGGGCAAAGCAGCTGCTGAGCTCTGGGCTGAGTGAGGGGTCTGGGGAGCTCTGGGGTGACCACAGGCCATTGGGGTCCCCGTGAGTCACTGCAGAACATGTGACTTGCTGATGGTGCAAGGGATGTGTGAGCAAGCACGAGCAGCTGTGGCTCATGCATGATGCACCCCAAGGCACACACGGAAAGAGAGAAAGGGAAGCATGGAGAAGGGTTATTTTTATCTGTGCCTTTGCTCTGTTTTCCCTGCTGACACTGCAGTGAGGCCCTGCACTGTCCATAGCCCAGACCAAGCTGCTGCATCTTTCCCAGACCAAAGAAGCCTTCAGGATTGGGTTTGAGAGCTCTGGAATATTCAGATCTGGTTGTAAATGTTGTGGTTCAGCCTTGTGGTTCACAATAAAAGAAGATATCTGCCTTACTCAGAAACACTGATTGTGCCACTGACCAGTGTGGGTTCTGTACCATTTCCTGTGCTGACTTCACCTCGGCTGTGCTTTTGTGGCAGATAAGGTGCTGGGGCAGCAGGACAAAGGTCTCCTCTGTCTCTTCCACCTTAACTCTTAGCACACCAAGGGGCTGCTGGGCATCAGCTCATAACCACAGCCATGGGAGGTGGGGGAGCATCCAGGTCCCCCAGCACAGTGAGGGAGCACCCAGTGTCCCCAGACACCAGAGGTGGCCCAGCCTGAACTCCACTGGGGACTGCTCCCTGGGATGAGAGCATCCTGCACACTGGCATCCCATGTATTCTTGAGATTCCAGGGCATTCTGTGTCTTCTTGGCAGGTTTTGAGGGGATGTTGCTCCAGCAAATACTAAGCATCCCGATACAGAGCAACCTGCTTCCTGCTGTCCCCCAAGGAGGCTGAACAGCACAGGGAATAGTTTTGTGACTTGGATGCCTTTTGCTTTCTTCCCTTTCCCTCATTCTCACTCTCACTGCCCTGTGAGCCTCACCACAGAGCACAGCCTGTCTTCTCCTTGTCCACATAAGTCTTTCCTCTGGCCATGACAGTCTGTGTTTCATCACCTCCCAGCTGTGAGACCTTCCTCATAGTCACAGGGCACAAAACTCACACCTCTTCCTCAGAATTGCTGATGTGGTGGAGCAACCAGGGCAGGATTGGAGCTGTGGTTGCTCTGGAGTGGCTGAGCAATGTCTGGGCCATCCCCTTCTCTACACCACTGCCTTTATTCAGGGTGAAACTCACCCAGGAGCGATAAGGAGAGCAGGAGCTTTTCTGGTGAAATCAAACAAAAGGCAGAGGTGGTGCTGAGCCTGGGCTGGGCACCCTGAAGGGCACAGCCCTCCTGCCCAAAAGCAGAAGTAGCTGTGGGCATCAGCTGCAGTGATGCAACCACAAACCTCATCTCCACTGGTGCAGAGAGGCATTGATCATCTGACTGACTGTGCAACCTCCATCCCACCAGGGACACATGAGAGGAACAAGGGCAGAAGTTGCTAGGGGGAGGTTGGACAATAAAATCTCACTGTGAGGACAAAGGTGAAGCAGCACAGTGAAAACAGGCTGAAAACAGGGATTAGAAGAGATCTGCTCCAGGGAAACATCAGCCTTTTACCCACCACCGGTGAGAACTGGCTCAGGTGCTGCTGCCTCATCCCAGCTCCTCCCAGTGCCTGCCCTCTGGGGGGAAAAAACAGATTTTTCTGGCCAGACAGGTCCCAAAATTACACCTGGGGTGGAGAAGGAGGAGGAGGGTTTGTCCTGCTGAGTGCAGTGATCCTCCCTGAGATCCCATAAGGGATGTTTACAGGCGAAAAAATCTACAATTCTGCAGCCAGTGGAAAAGCAAAAGTTGGTGGTCTCAGAGAGACCCCGTGCCTGGGTGTGGGATCCCTCTGAGGCCTCCAGAGCTTGCTGGCAAACTGCTGCTTCAGGGAGAGGGAGCCAGGAGGATTTACAGATGGGGGGGAACACCCTGCTCACATTTCGAACCTCAAATCCTACAGAATGCTTGGCAAAGCCTCAGGACCTGCCCTTGCACGTTGGGAAGCACAGCTCTGACTTGCAGACAAGGCCAAGCAGGTTTTGCCACACTGGCTCAGACAGCCAGAGGCTTCCTCGCTTGCTAAAATCCCCAAAATCTCACTTGCTGGCTGAATACATCCTCCTCCGGGACACATCACTACCCCCTCGCTGTCCCCGCTCCCAAAGCCACTCATCCCATTCCACACTGTCTGAGCAAAGTCCACAATTCCGAGCAAGACGAGAGCTCAGAAGTCCATCCCAAGCTCTTAGCAGACGAGGAGAAGTTTGTTGTCACTCCCCTCTCGGAGCCCGAGCCGGGGCCGCTCGCAGAGCGCAGGGATGCAGGAAACTCCCTGAGCATCATCATCCCAGCGCCTGCAAGTGGCTCCTCCGGCAGCATCTCGGCCCCTTTCTGCTGATGTCACACCGCGGGGCCCTGCGAACGCCTTCTCCGGGCGGGCACGGGGGAATTGGACGCCCTTTCCTGGATCCTCCTCCCGCTCCTGCCGTTCCCGGTGCCTCCGAGCGGAGCTGAGAGCTCCGCGGACTGATGCTCCGGCAGGTGAGTGAGCTGCGGCTGAGACCCTCCCCGGGAGGCAGAAAAGCTGGAAAAAAAAAAAAAAAAAAGCAACATCATTTTGAGTTTAAACCCGTCTGACTCGCGAAAAAAAAAAGAGCTGGGAAAAGGACTGGAAAGTTTGTGCCTGCTGGGACAAGAGGAGCTGCCGGTGCTGAGGATGCTGCCCACGGCTGGGCTGGGGTGGCAGAGGGGGGCAGAGGAGCCTGGACCCCCCCGACTGAGAGTCGAACTGGCAGGGTGTTG